TTGATGGCGCGCAGTTGCGCAAATGCTATGTATGTAAGCATTATATATATATGTGGATTGTATCGCGTTGCGTCATAATGTACCCCCCCCGCCAGAGGCCACGCCACTTCCGTCGACCAAAAGTTGAGGACTCTTACTTGGCCCCAAAACTTACAACAACCCATGGCAAATCATGATTTAGGCCCCTGGGGCCTTGTGGGTGCCTAAGTCCAAGGTGGCTCCAAAAAAACCCAAGAACCTGCAAGTGGGCCCCAAGAGCACCCCCGAGAGCGCCTCCAGAGGCCAAATCATTGATGTTCCTTCGATTCGTATGCGATTTCCAGGGGCCCATGACAACCCAAGCAGCCTCCAAGATGGCCCCAAAACGGCCACAAAGGCTTCCCAAAGGGGCCCAGGACGGCCCAAGAGGGCCCAGGACGGCCCAAGGAGGCCCCCAAGACGGTCCAAGATGCCCCCAAGATGGCCCAAGAGGACCACAATAGAGCCCCAAGGCGGCCCAGAGAGGCCCCCAGATGGCGCACGAGCTCCCCAATACTGCCCACGAGTTCCTAAGAGGCCCCAGGCCCCCAAGGGGCCTCCAAGAGGCTCCCAAGAAGTCCCCAGGAGGTCACACACCGACTGGATTGTACGTGCTCCGGACGTGCACCCCGCGAAGCGACAGCGATTTTGCGGCGAACGCCTTAACGCAACGTATGCAACGTATTCAAGCATTGAAGAATTGCTGCATGTTGTATTGCCTTACGTTAGAACGTACCCACCTACCCCCCCCCAAGGCCACGCCACTTCCGCCGACCAGGGTGTCCCCTCTCTACTTTCCGGGCCTCAAGCCCTGCACTACACTTAAAGCAGATAGGTGAGGAGGCGGATGTACGCCTGCCTCGTTGGCTCGGAATCTTATTTCTGGATCTGCGAGGACCGAAATCGACTCAGAACACTCGGCCCCCCTGTTGAAACTCTGGTGGGAAGAAAATTTTGATTGAAATCGAGCCAGGACACCATAGTGATTGTCATGTCTGGGCCAAATCGAGCCACACAATCATGAGTCTCATTCATCTATCTGGGAGGGCGGACATGGAGCCAGAACGCCATGGCGCGCATCATTTATCGATCGAATCGAGCCAGAACGCCAGAGTGCGTCAAATTTCTGTAACCCACTGCGGGCGGAAACAATACCCCGGGGATAATAAAGTTCGGGGATCTGGCGGGGATAATGACACATTTTCCCGGGGAAGGTAAGTTATGATGATGATGATGGTGATGATGATGATGATGATGATGATGATGATGGTGATGTTGATGATGATGATGATAATGATGATGATGATGATGATGATGATGATGATGTTGATGATGATGATGATGATGGTGACGATGGTGATGGTGATGGTGATGGTGATGGTGATGATGATGATGACGATGACGATGACGATGACGATGATGATGATGATGATGATGATGATGATGATGATGATGATGATGATGATGATGATGATGATGATGGTGGTGATCCTGGGCGCTCGGCGCTAGGAAGGGTTAAGGGGAGGGGGGGTAGACTTTATTATCGCCCGCGCTCGGTCATCTGCGAGGCGAGGGCTGACATCGACCCAGAACCCCATAGCGAGTCGATTCGGGACCACCGCCGGACCGGCGAGACGGCTCCCCCTGGCCCCCCCCCCGTGGAGATGCTGGCGATGGGGAACCAAGCCAGAACACCATGGTGAGTTGCACCTCTAGAATGAAGTCGGGCGTGTCCCCCTACAGGGGGATTTTCGATGAAAAATAGAAAAGGCCCCAAACATCTCCCCGAATTGTCAAAACATACAAAAAATAGTCCCCAGACGATGTTTAAACTATTTTCGAATGTTCCTCCTGTAGAGGGGGACGGGCCCGACTTAGCTCTGTAACGCATGGAGCCAGAACGTCATCACGAGTCACATTCTTCGATCTGGGAGAGCTGGAGCGGAGCCAGCACAGCGTAGCGGGTCGCACTTCTGAAGGAACTCGGGCCAGGACGCAATCGCATTCTGGACCCAGCTGGGCTAGAACGCCATCGTGAGTCGCATTTCTGGCCCCTTACTGTCCATCGCTCGGACGTCCATTCTTTGTTTTTTTTTGGATTTCGTGCGTGTTTTTTCGCCAAATGATCAAGGATGCTCCTCGATGGTCCTCGCCGAAGGAAACATGCACACGTCCGAGCGATGCCAAGCTTATCAAGTCAAAACACCAAGGTGAGCGCTGCGGGCACGCGCCGCCGGACCAGCGAAACGCCTCTCCCAGGCCCCCCTGAGGAAATCCCTGGTGGAATGAAATCTTCGAACACGTACAGTCATCGGCCTGACCAGAAGAAGGAGAAATAAGGAGCGACTCTCTTTTTTCCAAGGAATGGCACATGAGGAACGATAAATAATAAATGACGCAAAAGGAACGATGAAAAAACACGCATGCGAACCTAAAGAACGACCGAGCCCCTTTTGCAAAGGAAGTGTTCTTTATTCAAGTCGCTTACTGTACTGCGAGGGCTGAAGTCGAGCCAGACCTGGTCTGGACCAAATCGAACCACACCGCGACAGCGAGCGCTGCCAGCACGCGCCGCTGGACCGGTAAGACGCCTCCAGCCCCGCTGTGGAGATTCTGGTGGGGGGGAATCTTTGAGCACTGAGAACTCTCTAGAGAAACGCGACTAAGAACATTGCACCAAAGAAAAAGCCTGATCAATTGATGGCTTGATGACTCGTGGAATCGATAAAGAGTTCGATAAGGAGATCGACCGGGAACCCGGGAACCCGGGAACCTGGAACCCACCGAAATCGGCTCAGAACCAATGACCAGGAACCCGGGATCCCGGAACCGGGAACCTGGGAACCCAGCCGGCCACCAAAATCGGCGGGAAACTTTCGCCAAATCTTTCAATTTCCGCCGGGACCCCTTCAGTGGAAGCACTGATTGGAACAAAAACATATGAAAAAAAAATGATTTGGGCCCCAGGGGGCCTCTTAGTTGTCTACGAGGGCAACAAGGCGGCTCAAGCTTGCCTCAGTACGCACTCAGACGGCCCCAAGACAGCCCAAGACGGCCCCAAGAGGGAAGACAAAGCCCCCAAGACGCTCCAAGAGGGCCCCGAAAAGACTCCCGAAAGCGCCTCCAGAGGCTAAAATCATTGATGACCCGTAGATGTTTAGCGGATTCTGGCGTTCTCGACATGTTCGAATATCAGACGCCCACGACGGCCCGAGAAGCCTCCAAAATGGCCGCAAGACGGCCCAAGAAGCCCCCAAGAGGGCCCCAAGACGGCCCAAGAAAGCCCAAAGACGGTCCACAGAGTCTCCCAAGACGACCTACAATGCTCCCAAGACGGCCCAAGAGGACCCCAGGAAAGCCCCAAGGGGGCAGCGAAAGGGCTACAAGACGGCCTCCGAAGGGGCCTGGCGGCGCAAGAGCAACCCCAGACGGCCCAAGACGCCCCCAAGAGGCCCCAAAGAAGCCCCCATGGAGGCTCCAAGAGGGAAGACAAAGCCTCCAAGACGCTCCAAGAGGGCCCCGAAAAGACTCCCGAAAGCGCCTCCAGAGGCTAAAATCATTGATGACCCGTAGATTTTTAGCGGAATCTGGCGTTCTCGACATACTCGAATTTCAGACGCCCACGACGGCCCGAGAAGCCTCCAAAATGGCCGCAAGACGGCCCAAGAAGCCCCCAAGAGGGCCCCAAGACGGCCCAAGAAAGCCCAAAGACGGTCCACAGAGTCTCCCAAGACGACCTACAATGCTCCCAAGACGGCCCAAGAGGACCCCAGGAAAGCCCCAAGGGGGCAGCGAAAGGGCTACAGGACGACCTCCGAAAGGGCCTGGCGGCGCAAGAGCAACCCCAGACGGCCCAAGACGCCCCCAAGAGGCCCAAAAGAAGCCCCCATGGAGGCCCCGAGAAGCCCCCAAGAGGCCCCGAAGAGGCTCCCACAAGGCCCCGCAACGACTGGACTGTGCGTGCTCAAGAAGTGAACCCCGCGAAGCGATAGGACTTACGACGTCGGAGCCCTCGGACCGCGACGGAAAGCCCATCAAGGGGGAGGCGAACCCCTGGGCCGCGACACGCCCAAACACCACCTGGTACAGTCGGGGCGTTGACCACCTGAGGAGCCACAAATAAGGAACGAGGCCCATGTTTCCATCAGCTCAACTTCGATCTCCCATCGAAGACCGAAGGAACACTCAAGGCAGGATGGGAAACACTTCAGGAGCACGGAGCCCCTCCCGCACGAAAAGGCTTCCTTCTTCCGCGCCCCAAATGTACTGGACGACGCTCGGGCGTGACACACACCGCACGCGGGCCTGGCTGGAAACATCAGGTCGTCGAGGCTCTGAGGTGGCCCGCGTTCCTCCTCCGCGCTGGCGGGTCGGATCGTGGTGCGAAGCGCACACCCCTCGGGCCTGGAAACGGCTGCGGTTGGAGGGAGATGCCCGCTCGAAGAAGCACGCCGGTCTCGTGCCGTGACGACTTCGGCGCCGGCTTCTGACACCGCATCGATCGTCTAAAGGGGCCCAAGGACACACAAATAAATACACACCAATAACACGATTCACAATATTTTCGTATTGTTTTTGGATGTTTGTCTTCCCCCCCACTTCCCATATTTTCCCACATTTTCCGGGGAATCGACGATTAATTGTGTCTGTCTGTGTGTTTTTCCCCCTCCTGATCGTTCAGCTTTGGCCGATCGGCGGCTCCTCGGTCGCCAGATCGCCCCAGACCAGCAGGCTCCGGGCCACTGCCGGCGCTCCCCTCGGAACGCCCGCGGCGGGGCCGCTGCCACGTCGACACGACACGGACCGACCGTACACTCGCCATCGCTCGGACGTCCATTTCCTGTGTTTTTGTTCGATTTCGTGCGTGTTTTTTTCGCGAAATGGTCAAGGATGCTCCTGGATGGCCCTCGCCGAAGGAAAAATGCACATGTCCGAGCGATGGCCAGACCGTACAAGGCGCGCGGGCGACACGAAGGGCGCACCGCCGGCTGTGCGACAGGAGTCGCGCTTGCGAGCAGCTGCGGCCTTCGAGCTGACAGTGCGCGGGCGGGGAGCGGCACCGCACAGGCTCTTCTGCGATCGGGGGCACCTGTCCCCCGGGCAGCTGCAGAGGTTGTCCCACCCCACCTGCCACCACAGGGGCACAAGCCTCCCAGCCACCCTGAGGCAAGCATCCCAAGAGGCAGGTGGACGGCTTCCCCCGGGGCCGTAGGCGACCGAAGGAGGGGAGGGCGAGGAGGAGGAGGAGGAAGAAAAGGAGGCGGAGGAGGGAGAGGAGGAGGAGGAGGAGGAGGAGGAGGAGGAGGAGGAGGAGGAGGAGGAGGAGGAGGAGGAGGACGGGTCGCCTAAGCCCTTCGGAGAAACCCTCCAGATGGAGAGGTGCACCTTGTACCACTCTTCGCCCGCTGTGGGATGCTCGCGGCACCGGGAGCAATCACACAGGGTCCCTCACGCCTGGGTTTAGGTCGGGCATGTCCCCCCACGGGCGGATCTTGGGCGACAAAATGCCACACATTTACAACATACCAAGCCATAGCAACAACATGCTCAAACATCGTCCCCGGACCATGTCTTGATCAGTGTTGGATGTTCCTCCTGCCGAGGGGCGGGCCCGACGTGAGCCTGGTTGGATGCCGAGGCTCCCTCGCGCCTGTGGCCACGGGGGGCCCCCGACCTGGCGGCTCCCCCCTCACATGTGCCTCGGAAGGGCACGTCGCCACGGGGGGCCCCCGAGCCGGCGGCTCCCCCCTCACACGTGCCTCGGAAGGGCACGCGTCTGTTCATGAGAAGCGGCGCCGCTTCCTCCCTGCTCTTCTCTGCCTAATTCCAGCTTCGCGCGGCCCGCTCAGCCTCGAACGGAAGAGGTGCGCTCTCGACCCGCGGATCAGAAGAAGTCTGTTTATAAGAAGTGGTTGTCGGTGGCCCGCGACAGAGCTCGCTGCGGTCTGAGGAACTTGTTGTCCTTCGGCAGCGCACCCCAGCCTTCTCCCCTCCTCCCAGTGGATTATTTCCGCGTGATCTCCTGTCCCACCTGACTGCCAGCAGCCACTGACGCAGGACCACCCAGCTGTCCTGACGCAACGTCGTCATGAAGCACTGCCAATTGCGATACGAAGCATACCTGACCAGAAGGCCGCGGTCTAAGGAACTGGGCCTGACCGTCGTTTTGGCGGCTACGTTGTCGCCGTCGCCGCCCCGTCGCCGCCTCGCGGCCGCCCGTCGTCTGAGATCGGCCGTCGGCTTGGCGGCTCTGCTGTTGCCGTCGCCGCCCCGTCGCCGCTTCGTCGCCGCCCGTCGGAATGCACCACATCGGCTGCCAGACACGCCCAAATGTGGGATCCACGCTAGCTAACATACATCCGCCACCGTGCCGCGAGGCGCGAAGTGGCGTTTTCTCCAGGTCCTCACGTGCCCTCTGTTCCCTGGGCCCAGGACTCTGGGAATCCCTCCAGCCCTCTGGGCGGAGGTGGCTTAGAGAGCCCGTTCTTTCCACCGCCTTCTTCACCTTCGGGGAGGTGTTTACTCCTCCCCCTGCCCCCTCCCCCTGGGCCTGGAGGGGGAGGCGCGGGTGGTTGGAGCATCTGGTTTGGCCTACGACGGCACCAAGACAGCCCAAGAGAGCTCAAGATGACCTCCAAGATCGCCCAAGATAGCCCTCAAAGGCTCAAGATAGCTCCGAACAAGCCTACACGAGGAGAAATCAATGTGGTTTGCATTTTCGCCTTTTCGCGTTAAATGGGCTCTTGAGGCTTCAAGATGGCCCCAAGATGGCCCAAGAGAGCCACAAGACAGGCCCCAGAGATGCCCAAGACGGGACCAAGAGCGCCTAAGAGTGCCCCAAGAGCAGCCCAAGAGGGCCCCAAGAGGCGACTGTTCGGGTTCCGGAAGGGGGGGGGCGTAATTGACGCCGCGCTCCTTTTTGAGCCGTGGCCTCCAAGATGATCCCAAGAGACCTCCCAGACCACCCCAAGGAGCCCCAAGAGGGCCCCAAGACCTCCCAAAAGAGCCCCAAGGGTGCCCCAAGAGGCACCACGTGGACCCCCGAAGGGTCCAGAGACCTGCAACATAGCCCCCCAGGAGCGACAAACCCAGAAACGCCTTCATAGTTGACTTCGTCGTCGTCGTCGTCGCGTCGTCGTCGTCTTCGTAGTCGTCGTCGACGTCGTCGTCGACATCGTCGCCGTCGTCTTCGCCGTCGTCTTCGTTGTCGCCGTCGTCGTCGTCGGGTGCGTCGTCGTTATCCTGGTCATCGCCGTCGTCCTCCTCGTCGTCGCGGTCCCCATCTCTCCGCACACCGCCTTCTCTTCCTCCCGCTCCGCCCCGTCCTCCTCCCACTGCCCCCCACAAGAAGGTGTAACAGAGAGTAGGCAGGATATGGGCGGAAGAGGAGGAGGAGGGGGAGGAGGAGGAGGAGGGGGAGGAGGAGGAGATGGAGGAGGAGGACGAGGAGGAGGAGGAGGAGGAGGAGGAGGAGGAGCGAGGAGGAGGAAAAAGGGGGAGGAGGAGCGAGGAGGAGGAAAAAGGGGGAGGAGGAGCGGCGAGGAGGAGGAGAAGCAGGAGGAGAGGAAGAAGGGGGAGGAGGAGCGGCGAGGAGGAGGAAGAGGAGGAGGAGGAGCAGGAGGGGACACGCCCGAGAGTCACGGCCGCCGGCGTGCGTCGCATAAGTGTGCTGTGTCGGGATGGGCCCGCTGGGATACGTTTTTTGCTCGCGAGCGGCGCGGAGAGCCGCGCGCCGTCAAGCAGGTCGTGCAAGCGCAGGCCAGGCGCAGGCAGAACGCGGAAAAGGGCCACAACGGCGGCGAGGACAATGGCAACGAGAGCGAAGCGAGAGAGAGACACGCCAACGAGAGCGGGACGAAAAGAAGGACAAGACGAGAGCCGAAGGACGGAAGAGCAAAGGAGAGAAGACAAAAGAAAGAGAGGCTGGTTGGCATACTTTTGTCGGCAGCCGCAGGCGAGAGCGCACAGCGGCGAGTCAGGGTCCGGGCGGGGCGCGCGAGGGCCAAATTAATCAGGAGCAAGCCTAACACTGCCACTCAAAACGGGACCAGGAGGAAGCCGAAGAGGGAAGCGGGTTGCTGCACTGCCAGGGGGTGCACGCGTGCAACGAGCTGCAGAGGGGGCTGACTGCCAGGAAGGCCGACTGCCATGGTCTGCAAGCTGCTGGTGAATTGGATGCGAAGGGTGAGCGCCCGGCGGACTGCGAAAGTACCAGGGTGGCCAGAGCCAGGTGGGCCGAAGCCTCCACGAGGCGAATTGTGTGCGAGTGACTTGGCCAGCCGAAGCTGAAGCGCAGCCAAAATGGCGCGCACGAGCACCACGGTGCGACCAGGGTAAAGCACCTCGGAGTAAGCCCAAGATGCCTGTCAAGGTCTGGCGGGTGCAGGTGGTGGCGCCAGTAAAGTCGCACACCCTCCCCTGGTTGGGATACTTTTTGGGTCGCGGGTGGACGCGTGAAGCTGTCGCCGAGAGGGGGGTCCGGGGCGCGGGCCAGCCGAATTAGCTACTGAAAGACGCGCAAGACGGCCGGGCCAGCGCTCAGAAGCGGCGGCAGAGTTGCTGCTGCTGGTGGAAATGGCTGGGTGGTCTGCAACGCCCAGGGAAGCTGATGCAACGTGCAAGTCTGAGGCAGAAGGACGCCAAAGACCTGGTTGGGATACGCGAAGCGTGAACAATTCTTGCACTCTAGAAGCTGGGGCCCACATCCCCAAACTTCCCTGGCGTTCCCTCCGAGGCTGCCCCGCATGACTTTTCCAGAGGCCGGAGAGCCCCAAGACGGGCCCAGAGGGCCCCAGAAAGCGCCCCAAAACGGCCCAAGAGGCCTCGAAGACAGCCCAAGAGCGCTCCCAGACGCCCAAGATGGCCCCAAGAAGGCCCAGGAGGCCCCAAAGAAGCCCCAAGAGCGCTCCAAGAGGTCTTCCAAGAGGGCTCAAAGAGGCCACACATATGGATGTTTGTTGTGGCTTTTATGTGTTTCAAATTCTCGCGTTTTCGGGCTTCCGACAATCCAAGATGGCCCCAAAGGCCCCCAAAACCGTCACAAGACGGCCCAAAGGGCCCTCAAGAGGCCCCAAGACGGCTCCAAGAGGCGCCCAAGAGGGGAAACACGAACCGACAATTCGAGCCTTCCGCCCCAAGAGGCCTCCATGAGGCCCCAAGCGGCCCCGAAGAGAGCCCAACAAGAGGCCCCAAGAGGCCCCCCGACGGCCCCCAAGAGGCTTCAAAACTGCCTCCAAGGAGGCCCTCGAGAGGCCTCCCACGATATCCAAACGAACATCTAAGAGGCCTCTAATCCACAACCCATGCAAGGAGGCGGAATGGGACGAAGGCCACTAGATTCGCCGCCCCCTGTGGTCTTGCCACAAGGGTGCCCAGCGTGCTAGATCATACTGGTTTGGTTTTGGTTCCTTTTCCACAAGAGTCCCACTGAGGCTTCGGCTCGTCCCGTCGTCCACCCGGAACGCACCGAAACAACCTCAACGTCCGGAAAAAATCCCCTCAGACGGTCCAAGATGGCCTCCACGAGGGCCAATATGGCCCAAGATGGCCTCCAAATTCGCCCAAGATGGTCCAGCCTCCAAAACGGCCCATGAGGGTCTAGGATGCCTCCAAATCCGCCCAAGAAGCCTTCAGGACGGCCCAAGATGGCCTCCAGCTGGCCCCAGACGGCCCAAGAGGCCCTGAGGAGGCCTCCAAGACGGCCCAAGAGGCCTCCAAAAGGGCCTCCAGACTACTTTTCGGCCTTTTGACGGCCCAAAGATCGCCCCCAAATCAACGGCAACTCACAGTCGGTCTCTGGACCCCTCCCGTGGTCCAAACGCACCAGCTCTCCGCGCTGCGACCAGCCGTGGAGACGAAGGAGCTCCCCGCAGGCCAACTACCATTGTCTGAACTCGTCCTCCCCCGACAAAGACACACAAACGCACACTTCGGTGGCGACGCTGGTCTACGCTAAATCGACGCCGATCGACGCCATCTCATCTGAACGATCAACTTGGGCGCCCGAGTTATCCGGGGTAACTCGGGTCCGGGGTAACTCGGGTTTGGATTCACAAAACAAGGAACCCGAATTAGCCCTGACCCGAGTTACCCCTGATGATGTGGGGCTCTGGACGCCCGAATCATCCGGGGTAACTCGGGTCCGGGGTAAGTCGGGTTCGGATTCCCGAACAACGAACCCGAGTTAACCCTGACCCGAGTTACCCCTGATGATTCGGGGCTCTGATCAACAGCATACGTACATGTACCTCCTCCGCGGTCTTGCGTGCACGAGCGCCCGCGTGCGGACGCACTCCAGCGGAAGCGCACCGCGTACGCGAACATATATGTGGTTGGCCTCTGATCATCGGCTAGCAAACGCTGGCAGGCGCTGGAGCACTCTCATCACGGAGTTAGGAGGGTACAACCGGGCTCCCATGAACTGCTGCCGAAGTACACCCCTCCTCCTCCTCCTCCTCCTCCCTCCTCCTCCTCCTCCTCCTCCTCCTCCTTGCCTCCCCCTCCTCCCCCTCCCCCTCCTCCTCCTCCTCCTCCTACTCCTCCTCCTCCCCATCCTCCTCCTCCTCCTCCTCCTCCTCCTCCTCCTCCTCCTCCTCCTCCCCGACGCCAGGATATCTGCATGACGTGGACCCCAGCGGTCCGACCCATCTCTGGGACCGGCTTTTCGTCCCGAGTCGTTCTCTGACGGCCCCGAGGGCCAGTCAGGGCCCCCGCCGAAGGTATCGAAGACCTCCCCATGGTGTTTTCTTTATCATAACTCGAGGGGGCCTGGGCTTGAAAGGCACTTTCGCCGCTTTTTCTCTCCAGCCCGCAGCTCGCATGATCTGCTGTCGAAGCTCGGCGGCGAGCGAGGGGGGGGAATTGAGAAGGAGAAGGCCTTCTCAGAAGGCTCGGAAGTCCCCCGGCCTTCTGAGAAGTTGTCTCAGCCCTCCTCGAAGACAACAAAAACCCTCAGAAGGCCAGAGGGCTTCTGAGAAGTCCCGCCGCCTTCTGACAAGGCCTTCTTTGAGCAGGGACCGACCGTCCCGGCATTCCTATAGTCCTACCACGAAATGTTCTTAGAACCTAAAAATGTTTAAAGAACAAAAGCA